TTAATTCATGTGGTCCGGATAACTCATTTCTGGTAAGTCTGATGGTTATTCCTGTATTATTATTATAAGCTCTCGAAAGCTTTTCCAATTGTCCTTTACTAAGTGACACACCATAAGGATAATATTTCGTCATTACTTGTATATAATATATGTTACATAATTTTAACCATATTCAATTTACGATGATCTGAGTATTATTTTGCCATCCTTTTGAATTAGCTCAACATCTTGCTCATATAATGTTAATGCGTAAATTGAGTAGGCTATTGCCGTTGTTCCAGATAGCTCATATTTGAATGTCCTTTTTGTAGTGCCATCCTTAATGTCCGTTTTCTGTTTTGTTAGGTCGAAATACAGGAAAGGGAATAGCGTACTAAAATTAGATTTATTGAGTAATGACCCTTCACCATATTCATTATTTTTATGGACATATTTCAGAACATCCCTGAAGACTCTAGTCATATCAGTAGTTGGTGTGTAATTGATTTCGGGGTATTCATTACCATTTCCAACTTCCAGATGACAATTGGATAAGGTTCTTGGGTCAGTTGAGACAGAGAATGTGTTGTACAAGAATGGGTTCTCTGTCTGGGCATCGATATTCGCGTCATTGATTATGAACACAAACACGTGCCTTGGTTTTGAGATACCAGTTGATATTCTGAAATGCCCAGCTCTCTGCCGGCTACTATTTGATCTTTCTATATTCTCTCTCAAGTAAGTCCACTTGTGATTTTTAAGATACTGACTCATATAGGATGATTGGCCTTCACTGTTAAAGGTTATCCGCGGTACATACAACTGCATCCTGGTGATAAGCACCCTGCAATTAGCCCCGGCTTGCCAAAGTAGGTTACCATCTGACTCAATCTCAAAATTCATCTCAACCCTTGTATTGGATAACAGCTCATCCTCTAACATTTCGAAAAACGAGTATCTGTTCAGTGGTATTTCAGTGTTTACTGTGGATGAGGTACCTAAGAGTGCTTTTCGAAGGGCAAAACCTTTATTGTAAGCTACTCTTCTTTTGGCTAATTGATTTGTACCACTAACTTCAAATTCCCGCTCTTCTGCATTTCTGGATGTATCAAGGAAGAAAAACTCATTACATGCTGTTTTTTCAGCGTAAGATGGACTGTAATCGAGTAAGTTTTTAATATTAACCGCCTGATTTGCATCATGACAA